CTGTCAGTCACCTGCTTTCCCTTGGCACAAATTCTAATGCCCAGCACTACAATCACTATCTCATGTCCCCCATCTCCAATGCACCCCTCCCTCTCTACGTTTGCTTGGTCCAGCTCTCCACACACTGCAGACATCTGAACTCAAGACAGGCCGACTGGGCCTGCCGGATGACAGCAGAAGAGACACACCACAGGGTTCTGTTCCTGCACACACCACAGCTCATCTGCATCTCATTCCTGTGTTTCTGCTCAGTTCTGCTGAAAGGGATGACCTGTCCTCATTCCACTTCTGTACTGAATCTTGTTCACTTCACCGACTCAGGAACTTTTCCTTTAAAATTGTGCCTCTCTCAAACATCATTAATATCTGATTTCATGGGTCACAGTCATCCTCATAAGCATAGCACCCATGGCAAAAAGGAATCTCTGACCCTTCCCACGTCCTTAACCACAAAGCTATCTTTGGCTTTTTGTTGTAAGAAGTGCTATTAAATACCCCTGTACTGTTTTTCCAAATTATCCAAGAGGAGTCATTACATGCCCAGTGTCCATCCTCCTTTGCCTCCTCTTCTGGTGTGGGACACTCGATTATAGGGGAGAAAACAGGGATGAGGGGCCTCTCTCTTAAAACCCCAGAGGATAAGAGGCTTGATAACTGCTGGAAATGAGGCAGGTGTGTCTGAAAGAGAGAAAATTACCAAAGAGTGCTGCATACATTATGGCTTCATTTATGTTAATGTAAAAGTGTGAAACCCACCAATTAAACAGCAATCAAGAAGGAAATTAGAACAAAGAGAAAAATCAATGAACACATTTCATTGAGCAATCCAGGACTGAGGTGTTCAAGAGCTCAGCCTACAGACACATCTGTCATGCCATCATGGGACATGAATTGCATGTCATAACTTCTGTTTCGGCCACAGCTGTGAACTAGAATCTATTTCCATGCAGTGTTAGCTCCCTGCCTAAAACTGTGTTTTTAGTCTCATTAACAACTTGCTCCAGTGAACTCTATCAGACTGGGTTTTCTTTGCATGTGTGTTACTCTTACTGCATCCTCCCGTATAAAATGCTCAGTATGTTTACTGAATAAGTGAACAAGGTATGTCACTTTTCACCTTCTTACATGAGAGCTCAGAATGTGCCTGCTACATGGAAGAATGGCTTCCTTCCTGTAGAGGTGACTTCCTAGGAGACAGGACAAGAGTAATACATCATTTGATATCATAAAATTTCTCACTTGAAATTTCCTAAGTAAACAAGTGGGATTTCTACTCTAGAAGGTTAATTTTCTTGAGTACTCAAAAGAGCAAAACAAAACTATATTCCATAAGCAAATAGGTTTAAAGACTGATGTGCATATAATTATAAAGAATCATAGAAGGCATTAACTTTTAAAGTAAGTTTTCCCTGATCTCAGCTTCTACAGAAACATCTTTAACTGAGCTTTAACTCCGTTGACAATAGTTTATACTTGAGGTTAAGAGAAGAAGGAAACCTGAGTTAGAATGACTTAGGACAAATATCCCCAGTGAATGAGAGACTGATTTGTTTGTCTCAGGTCGCCCTAAGAGAGTTCAGGGGATTTGCTACTTGTAGGTTTCTGGTTTCACACCTGCAGATGCTGTGCAGAGGACCTGGCTCCAAGCCTTCAATGGGGAATCTTCAAGTTGCTCTATTTCAAGATCCCAGAACAGATTGTCATTCCTTTTCAGATTAGTTGTCTGCCACAAAGAATCTCAGCTTTACTGCCCAGAAGCAATGAACTTTTGAATTGTTTAGGAAAAAAAAAAAGTCTCCCAAGTTTTTATTAAGTTCATGTCAGGACCTCGGAGCGCTATGGGAGTAGCTTGGTTATAGAACACTTGCCCAGCTTGGGCTCCTCCCTAGCACTGCCAACAACAAAGGGGAGAAAGGGGGGAATTCTGAAATGCCTTTTTATTTGCAGAAATGAAGCTCTGCCTAGAGCACTTTGTGTAAGTTCTCAGAATTCAAACAAACCCCACTATGTGAGCTGACGGAGAAATTCCTACTAGCTGAAGTTTATTCCAGCCACCAATTTTCTTCCCAGCTTTTGATTCTCTTCTCCATCCTCCAGAACTCCCTCCATTCCATTCCTGCCTCTCCTGAATCGTACACAAAAGCAAAATCAACATGAATAGTTTGGTTTCTTTTAAACTTTTCTAGATGATCATAGACACATAGAAAAATTTGCTATTTTGTTTCTAAAACACAGGCTAATATCATCCTACCTTATTTCTTTATGAATTTTCCCCAAAATGCGAGATATGTATCCCCAACTATTTTAATGGATGACTACATGATATTTTCTAGAAATGAATTATCATTATTTCAACTTTTCACCAAGAAATATTCTTAAGATTTTTTTGTTTTGTTTTGGCTATCCCAAATATTTATATAAATGTCCAGATAGATTAAAAAATACTTGTGTCCTAAGTCACCCATTTCTATAGAACATACATCCAAGCATGACCAGACGAAAGGCACTTAAAATGTCAACTCACAGACAGGGATCATTAAAGCAATTCACATTCTCATTTGGGATGGAAAGAATCTGTGTTTCCCTAAATCTTTGTAGCAAACACTATAATACTATTTAAAAAAAATGTCCACATGGTTGATTAAAAAAGAAATAGTTTCACTTAAAATTTAATGTCCTAATGAGAACATTCAAGTGAAAAAATCATTTCCATATATCCATTTCTTGTTTGCATTTTTCTTCTATAAACCCATGCTCATATCCTCTGCCTAGATACCTATTCTTTTTATTTCTCATGAACTTCATGAAGTCTCATTAATTTTAGCAACATGCACATGGCCTGTATTCTCTCTAGGCTTATATTTCTACTCTTTTGTTTAATTTTGCCTTGATATTATCACTAGTATACACACTGCCATATGCATCTACCATTTATAGATGGCTTCAGAGCTTCCTGAAGTATTCAAAGCCTCTCTGCCATTAATTTATGCATTTCCCCAATGATTCTTCAAAGCATTTTTATAATGGCGAGGCTTTCCTTTTGAGGTTTACGTCTACATGGGTTGTGATTTAACAACTTTTCTTCCAGATGTTGAGCCTGTTTAGCTAATGCCATTTAAACCACTGCTTTATACTGAAAATAAATGCAAACTTTAAATGAAGTAGCCCCCACTTGTATTTGTTCTGTGCTCTCCATTTAGTCCTCCAAGGATCAATCTTTCTGTTTCTGGCAAACTGAATACTTCTGTGATTAGGATGTTTTATAAGGTAAATCCTATCAATTTTCCTTGAACCCTCAAAAACTATTCTTCTGTACGATCTTCAAAAATACTAGTTTGATCTAACTTACTAAAGAAATGAACAACCAGCCACACATGCTGATTACAATGGTTTGAAATCTTTATATTAATTTGGGAGAGCAATACTGTGAAGATATCAAGACTTTCCACGCAAGAACATGGCATGTGTCATTTATTGAGTTACATATGATAAAATGTCACATTTGATGAAATGTTCCTCAGACAGGTCTTCGAATTTTCTTGTTAAAATTATCCCTCCTGTTTTCGATATTACTACTACACAAAAGTCAGTGGCCTAGCAGGACTTCCAGATCATACCAGGGTGAGAAACCATGATGTAACTCAATCATAAAGAAGCAGTATCTTGAGTTTGGAGGGTGGCAGGAAGCCCCTCTTTGCCTCTTTTTCTTTGTCTTTTTTAATATATATTTTTTAGTTGTAGTTGGACGCAATATCATTATTTTCTTTATTTTTTTATGTGGTGGTGAGAAAGGAACCCAGTGCCTCATGCATGTGAGGCAAGCGCCCAACCACTGAGCTAAAGGCCCGGCCCCTGGCCCCCTTTTCTATTACTCCTTAAATACAATCAGAAACCTCAAGAGTGGTCTTTTGAAAACTGCTCAAGCAGTACAGCCTGATCCTCACTGCAGTTTCCTGATTGCTTTTCATTTCCCTGAACTGGACAGTCCAATCTATCTCCCCTTCTGGACCCACCTAGCTGCAAACTTCCTGAATGGAGGGAACCCCTTTGAGTCCATTGTTGATCCTTTCAGTCAGTGGTATCTTCCCTTGGCTCTCTTGATAGCTTGGCATTCAGGTGGCTTCCTACCCTCAGCTGATCAGTTCCCACTTACTAAATGGATCCTATGTGCTGAAGAGCCCTTCTCCTTGACGCAGCTACTGTCCTTCACGGCCCCAGTTACAGCTATGCTCTGTTGCCTTCTTCCTGGAGATGGCCAGGTCATGTCACTCTGCCCATTGCTGTCACAAATTCCCTGAATAAAATAGCATCACTGAATAAAATAACCCGGACACAGTAGAGAGTAGAAGAGATGACACTAGAGCTTAGGAAGGAAACGGGGAGTAGGGATAGGGGCAAGTTGGATAATGGGTCCCCATATATAAAGCTAGATTGGGGAACTGGTTCCAGTGTTCCACGTCATAGCAGGGTAACCATAGTCTCTTACAATGTATTATGCATTCCACAATAACTAGAGAAGAACTTGAAGGTTTCCAACACATAGAAATGATAATGGTGGATGGAAATGCTAATTATCTTGATTTGATCATTATAGATTATATAATACGTGTCCCATTGTAAGGAAAGCTGCCTATATCATGAAATTAGAAACAAAAGCAATTTTAACTTTTTTTTTGTACTAAGAATTAAATCTTGAGGCGCTGTATCACTGAATACATTCCCAGTTCATTTTATTTTTTATTTTGAGACAGGCTTTTACCAAGATGCTAAGGCTGGCCTCAAACTTGCCATCCTCCTGCCTCAGACTCCCAAGTTGCTGGAATTTAGGTGTGTCCCACCACATCTGGCAATAACCATATTTTATTTACATGAGGAATACCAATATTCTCCTAGAAAATTAAGTTTCTCTTATAACAATGTAATCATCATTGTCATCTGGAAAACCAACTTTTCAATGTCCCCCTACATATTCATATCTCATTAAAATGGAATGTTTCTACCTGTTCTTTGACGGAGGCGAGGATGGCAGAGGTGGTTTCCGTTTCAGAGCCGTCCCCATTGGAGGTGTTTAAGCCAGGGCTCAGGGAGCTGGTCTTCTCAGAGGCTGACGAAGGCTGGTCTGGGACAGGCATAGCTCCTGCAATGCAAAGGACAGGCAGGCTCAGGAAACTGGACATGGTCACTCCAACGGACATACCCATCAGACGGCCCCAGAGCACAGGTGGGAATGAGGAAGCTTACACACTGCAGGCGGAACACGGCGCGACTGTAGAGGAGGAAACAGTACAGCTCCCCTTTATGTCAACCCCAAGCAAATCTGCAATGGCCCAACATGCCTTTGTGTTCTATCTCTGAGATCAGTGGGGGAAGAAAGGGCAGAGGGGGAAGAAACAAGCAAGAGTCTAAGGAAGGAAGAGAAAGGAGGTGAAGAAACAATGAGTCTAAAAAGCTCCTATAACTGCAAATTTATGTTTTAGGCAAATGTATTACTCTGTCCTATTGGTATATTTGCAACTCAAGTGTACCCATTGTAAGGAGATGATCCCATATAAATAGTCCATAGTTACCAATAATAGAATTAACATAAAAAGCTTTGTGGGTATTGTGAAATCCAGTCAGTAACTAGTGGATCCCATAGATACGTACCTAGCACTGACTCCAAAACAGATAGCAACAAAACACTCCTTAAAACATAAAAGGCCCATTTTTCACACTTTATTTTGTCTCAGTTTATTTATGGGATGGGGGAGAAACTCAAATCACATTAACCCCAGTACATAAAGGGATACACATGTGCAGTTAAAAAGCAAGTTTTCTTTCTCACACAAATGAGACTGGTGTGGTCTGGATGGCCACAATGCTCTACCAGTTCACATACTGATCTAACCCTCAAGGTTGGTGGTGTTGGGAGTTAGGGCCTTTGGAAGGTGATTAGTCATGGAAGGAGAGCTCTCATGAACAGGGTTTAGGCCCTTATAAAAGATGCCTAGGAAGGACTCTTTGCCCCACCCACCTTGAGAGAACACAGTGAGGGGCCCCAAGTATGATCCAGGAAACAGGCCAATGCCAGGAACCCTTGAAGGCCTTCATTTTGGACTTAGTCCCTAGAAATGTGAGAAATAACACATTTTATTTTGTTTGTTTTATTTTTTTGGTACCAGGGATTAAACCCAGGGGTGCTTAACCACTAAGCCACATCCTCAGCCCTATTTATTTATTTTTTTAGTTTTGAGACAGGGTCTTGCCATGTTGCTGAGGTTGGCTTTGATCTTGTGATCCTCCTGTCTCAGCCTCCCAAGCCACTGGGATTACTGGTATGTGCCACCGTGCCAGTCAATAAGATATTTTTTAAGACAGACTGAAAGGACTAAGACAAACATATATCATCTAGCAATGACTACCAACAGAGAAACCAATCATTAACTGAGGGCCATCTTTACCAAGGCATTACAAAAAACCCATCTCAAGAAAAGGCTGGGAGTAAGTAAGAGTCAATTTCATGCCTACACCTGCTACTGGTCCCGCGGGATAGTAAAGCATATTCCCTATTACACTAAACCTAAGTATCATTTTATACCAAGTGACAGATTTTTCAGGGTAGCCCTTTCCCTGTGTTACTAGCTACATTTATCTAATAACAGATCTATGCAAACCTTAAAAAGCCCAATTCACAACTTTACTTAAAACACAGAATAAAGAAGTGCCATTCGGTTTTTTTTTTAATTGAACCTTCCAACTACCTTTTGATTTACTTTTATATTTTGAAGCAACTTACTATGATTTCACTACAGGAGACTAGAATAACATTGGAGAAATTAATCTTGGAGAGATTTTTAGTTACTAATATCAACAAAACAGAATTTGAGTAAAGAGTGCAGATCAGATCAAATACGATTTGGCAAAATGCAAACTTGCTTAAAATGTTCAAAATACTTGAGGAGATGGAAACTGACAGGAGGAAAGAAAGAGACTTAAGTGATTTGGGTGGTGGTGTTGGGAAGAGCACAGTGAAGAATATCTATGCATTTTCATTGTTCCTGATGTGGTTTTTTAGTTGATCAAATCTCATCACTATGTAGAACACAGATACATTAATATGCACTGTGCCAGTTAAAGTAACTGAGACCCAGGATCTGTCACCTAAGAGAAGTTGGGAGATGGAGAGAGGTGCAAGGTGGAAATTCAGAAAGAAGGAAAACGGCAGCTCTGGGTGCTCGGTCAACTCTGGTTACCAAGATCCACCCTGACTATGATGTATTATGATGGCTTCCAGAGGGGACCCCACACAGGAGAGCTTTCTCTGAGAAGGGAGTCTCACGTTTTAAATTATTATTCTAATTTTTATGTTCTCTGAACTGCATTTCGCTCATGTTAATTCAGGTCCTGGGCTAGTATTATTATTAATACGTTTTCTGACAGAGAAAATGTCTGAGTTCTTAAATTTATTAAGAAACATAAGTGGGTCTAGAACTCATGTTTCCTCCTCTTTCATTCCTGTTTTAGTGTTTTTTTTTTTTTAGTGTCTACTTCCTTTAGAACCTTTATGACCCCCTAAATGCTAGTCTACCACCTAAATTTTACAGAATATCACTCTTAAAAGAATGACAGTGAGCTCTTATGATAAAATATGGATTTAATAGGCACCAATCTCATTTTGTCCTTAGGCAATTGACAACTCGACCCACATGTTCAAGGGAAGTGTGGGCCTGTCTGCCCCCTTCTGTTGTTCTATAGAAAGGAGTGAAGCCTTCAGGTCTTACTCCACCACACAGAGCTACTGCTACCTAAGGCAGCCACAACGTGTACCTGCAAATGACTTGGAATAATGTCCATGGCTTATAACTCTTAATATCCAGACTTCATCTAAGCACTGGTCACTGCTGTGTCTGGATGACAAAGACTGTCAACTTCCACTCCCATCTTCTTGGCTCCCAGCAAAAGAAGAGATGGATGAGATATGAAAAGACCTGCTGCAACTCAGCCCGGGATCACCACATGGTAAGTATCCATAAAGAGCTTTAAGCCTCCGGATTTTGCGTTAATATGGCCAAGTACTTTAGTCTTAATCAGAACTAATCCACTAAAAATGAGTATTTAAACGGTGTTAAACCCAGGGAATTACCAAAGCTGGGGAAGCAAAAAGAAGAAACAAATAGAGGAGGAACAACCATCAAACAATGCTGCCATCCCAGATAAGTGTGTTTACTTGGGGATTTGAGTAATTTTTTTTTTCCTACTATAACTTATCTGTATAGAGATTTTTACATAATGGAGAACTAAGGTAATATTTGTAAAAAAAATTATTTTCCTGCTCAGCAACATCTTTTGAACAATTTCTTGAGTCAACAATAATTATTTTGTAGTTTAATGACGTAATGAACACATATATTTTGATAATCTCTACAGATCAAGATTTACTTACTTATTCTTTTTTTGTAATTTTTAATCCCACTTTTGCATCTCTGATATTTTCAACAAACTTCCAGAAGCAGAGTGAATGAAGTAAGGAATGTGTGTATTTTTCAGACTTTTCATAGCAAAAACACAGGGTCCTGCAGCCAGGCTGACCCACACCTCTGGCCCCTTTGATATAATGACAAAGCCACTTCCCCACCTGTCCCTAGCACTGGCTGGATCCTCCCATACCTCTACCAGCATGATACAGAAAAATGCATCCCAGCCTACAAGTACAGTAGCTTTTTGAGACAGATTTATTCCTTTATACACAAGTCTTCACACCCTTCCCACAATGTCTCTGTGAAAAGTCTTTCTGTGTAATAGAATTATAATCTGCAAATATACAAGTGATATTTTAGGCCCATTTTCCACTTTAGAAAAGGACAGAGTAGTGAGGGAAAAGTAGCCCTGAATTTTGGGTTTGTTTTTTCTGGCAAAAGTCGGCACTATCAAGTGCTATGTCCATAAATTAAAAAAACAAAACCTACTTCTGGGCCAACGTATGCTGCTCTGTGCCCATAAGCATGAGCAGTACTGTGCACTGAGTTGTGTCTCCTGAACATACACTAAATACAGCTCTAATTCCCCATATGGCTGTATTTGAAGACAAGGCCTTTAGGGAGGTAATTAAGGTTGCATGAGGTCACAAGGCTAGGGTCCTAATCCACAAGGACTGGTGTCCTCATAAGAAGAGAAAGAGTAAAAGCTAGCTCTCCTGTGCACACACAGTTCCAAGGCCATGTGAAGATACAGCAAGAAAGCACCACCTGCAAGCCAGGAAGAGAGGTGTCACAGGAACCAATCCAGATGGCACCTTGATCTTGGACTTAAGGTTGCCAGAAGAGTAAAAAATAAATTTGTGTTGCTTAATGGTACTTTGCTATGGAATCCCAGACATTACACGAATACAAGAAAGATCTGGTTATTCTCAGGTATCGTCTCCTAAATTCCCCAGGGGGCATGAGCATGGGAGTCTTGTAACTGATGGTAGCAGGGTCTAATTCCAAAATGAATTAAAGTATCAGGAGAAGGCCTACCTCCTGCTTTTCAAATCAGCACATGTGATAATGGGCTTAAAAAGAGATGCATCCCTTCATATGAAATAAGCCTAGAGAACAAAACAATACCTTAAAAACCTCCATAATACTGCCATTCTCATAGAAGCAGCACTCAGAAACCAGAACAGTTGGCCGGAGTGACAATAACAGGGAAAGCAGGTATTCCCATACCCAGGCTCCTTTTTAATATGAACTCATATCAAATGTAATAAGGTTTTGTGGTGTCCAAAGAATACTCCAATCTTTTCTTTCCCAAACATAAGATGCTATAAATTCACATTGTACTTTGTAACATATTAAATATCCTCTGCGTTTTGGAATACCAAACACTGCTCCTCTCAATTCAGGGACGACATTCAATATCATATTTTATTGCTACCCATCATACAGAAAGAAAGCAACTTAAAGTTTTGGGTTTTTTTTTTTAATACTCTAAGTTGCTTCTTCTGTAGTCCTTTCTGCCTAGCAACGATGACTCTGACATCAATACATGGCCATTTTCACAAAATAACTGATGGGTTCCATGTCACAATCACCCAGCTAAGTGACTCACCTACAATTTAACATGCTACAATTTCTTGATTCCCCCTCACCTCCAATTTGACAATTAGCTTCTTTGGTC